GCGGCGGCGACCCACGAGCGCCAGGGCGACGCCAGGGTGTACATCGCAGCAGCGGCGACCCACGAGCACCAGGGCCACGACGTCCGACCCCCTGGAGAGCACGAAGGTCTGTGCCTGCCACACAAATCACGCAGCGGCGGCGGCCCCGTACATCCGAATTTGTGGAGAGCACCAAGTGCTGCGCCTGCCACGCAAATCAGCAGCGGCAGCGCGGTGGCGACCTACGACCGCCAGGGCGACGCGAGGGCGTACATCCGACTTTCTGGGGCCTGCCACGCAAATCACAGCGGCGCAGCGGCGGTGACAATTGGTTGGTGGCAGTTGGTTGGTGGCAGTTGGTTGGTGGCAGTTTGTGGGTGGAAGTTTGTTGGTGGCAATTGGTTGGTGGCAGTTGGTTGGTTGGTGGCAGTTGTTTGGTGGCAGTTGGTTGCTGGCAATTAGTTGGTGGCAATTGGTTGGTGGCAATTGGTTGGTGGAAGTTTGTTGGTGGCAATTGGTTGGTGGCAGTTTGTTGGTGGCAATTGGTTGGTGAAAGTTTGTTGGTGGAAGTTTGTTGGTGGCAATTGGTTGGTGGCAATTGGTTGGTGGCAGTTTGTTGATGACAGTTTGGAGGCAGGAGGAAGGAAGGAAGGAAGAGGAAGGAAGGAAGGAAGGAAGGAAGGAGGGAGGGAGGGAGGGAGGGAGGGAAGGAAGGAAGGAAGGAAGGAAGGAGGAGCGGATATCCGCTAGAAAACCGCGCGTCAAAGTGGTGAAAGACACAGCTGCGCGGACTCCTCAAACAAAGCCATGACACTGAGGACATCGCCAAGCGCAGGAAAACCGATGGACCACTTCAGTCAGCGTCGCCGGCTGGACAGTGTGGGTAACATCTCATTTAGTGGCCACCTATTGCTAGCGCAGAGGTGATGGGCCCGCCCTCTAGCAGGTCCGCGCCTTAGGTGATTCCGGCGCTGGAAAACAGGACTCTACAACCATTATGCATCAACCACGGAACTTGCCACGTAGAGCCTCACGATGATCGTGGGCAACCCCAGCGCCAGGCTGCGCCAGGTGCTATGCAATTGCCCCACTTTCACACTCGTCCTGCCGGGTCGGAGAGTCGGTTGGCGTGCCTGCGCAATGAGTGCGGGCGTCCACCCGCAAATTCATGTCGCCCGTGTACAGTTTCCAGGCTTCAAAATTACACCGCCGTAGACCCCAAACAGGTGATCGTCAGGGATGGCTTCCATTCGGTCACGCTTCGCACGCAATGGAAAACTGAAACCACCTGGCAAGAGTTCAACTTTCTTTGTCCTCTGGATGGAAATGCTGTTGTTCTCAGCATGGTAGTCTAGCGCTTCCAACTTTGCAACTAGATACTCCCCTCGCCAATTGTGTCCTGGCTGCACGTGATAACCAAGAAACACACCCTGCACCGAGGTTGGGGACAGCTTTCCTGCTGTGTTACCGGCTCTGTTGGGATTGTTGCAGAACAGGACTTTTGCACCAAACGGGATTGACATGCCCTCAAACATCTCCCCAAAGCGCAATTCCCATGGGCTTGGAGATGAATCCAGCTGGTCGCTCGTGTTTGTTGCCATGGCAAAATGCTGAATGGCGAGTGGCCAGTATTGGAGAGGCATTCCCGATTGAACAAGGTTGGTGCGTGCTCCCTCTAGCATATTCCTGACTTCCCTTTCAATGAAGCTCTTTGAGGAGTCTACCAGCGATCAATTCACGGGAATTGGCAGTATAAATGGTTTCAACCACATCATCCTGTCCAACAAAATGCTGTAGTGCGGTAGCAACCTCATCAGCACTTTTGGTTTGGGCAGGGTATATGCACCGGAATTTTGTGCGCAGGTCTTTGACCACCAACGCTACCCGCTCACCACGATCCCCTTCTTCGATGTTTGCGCGCGCGACGACGCGATCGGCAATGAGATGATCTCCAAATGCCTTAGTCTGGATGCGGCTCTCACCCCCTTTCTTTCGTGCCTGGGGTGCAAGCATCCAAGCTCGCTGACACACTTTGCAGAAAGGGTTCTCGGGGAAGTGGTGAAACTGGTGTTTCGCAGACTGTGCCTCACGCATCAGGTCTCCTACCTTCCGCGATCGCACCAGACGGCTTTCATCATCATCTGGCACGTCTTCATTCATCAATGCCCTCTTCTTCCCTCTTGTCCGATGGGCTCGGGATCGCTCCCGGCATTGCAAGCAACTTCTTCAGGGGTTTGTCCTTCTTGAACTGGCCCTTTCCAAAGACTTTGCAATCGGAGTCGAGGACTGGGACATGACCGTCAACTCGAAGCTGAACAATCTTTTCGTCCGGTCTCACCAGAATGGGAGTGCCATTTGCTGGCCACACAAACACCCTTCTAGTGAGAAGTCGGCCGTCCACGCGATGGGGAGCGCTTGCGACGTGGGTCGAGACCCGGTGCCGCGTTCTCATTGCGATCGCCTGGCTTCAACTTGTTCTGCTCGGCGATGCGAGATCGATTTTCTCGAAGGCGCTCACGGTCAATCAAGTCCTTGATACTTTGCAATAGAAACTTGTACGACCTGTTGTAATCACCTTCTTTTGCACGATCAAACAGATCGATGTCATACCTCAAAATTGAACTGGTTCGAATCTGTCTCAACAGGATGTCCCGCAACACGTTCTCATGAGGTGGTTCGGGCATACCAGCGATGGTAGCGTCCCAGCGGTTGATGAATCGCTTCAGATCCGCCACGGTGTCACCTACCTTCACTATCCCTTTGGGTGAGTGACTTGACTAGCTCAATCACTTGCTCTGACGTGATAGCACCTGACAATGCTGGCTTGTGGGGCTCACGAATCGATGGTGCAGGGCTGTGAAACATATGAGTTGGAGTCTTACCACTGTCTAGCCCCCGTGAACGGGAAGTACCGGCTTGATTGGTGCAGTTGCCCCCGATGGGGCATCACCAGTGACGGTGGCCTCTGGCACACTGGGTCCAAACAACCCACTCAGATGTGCACTTGCCTCTGCTGCAATGGTCTCAAATGTTCCTTTCTTTTCTTGCTCGCCTTGCCTAGGCGTCGACATTGGCGAAGCTATAACGCTCGTTGGACAATACCCTGGATCAGTTCTGCACCCCTCAAATCACGCTGAAGTTTGCTTTCACGCTCATCAAACTCTGCACGAAGCTTCGCTACACCTTGCTCGGCATTGCTGGTGATAGCGCCAACCGTTTGTTGACAATCGTGCATGAGTTGTGCGCGCAGGGGATCCATTTCCGCTTTCTTTGCATGCGTCTCCAACGCTTTGTCATTCTCTAGCTTGAACACACGTGCCTTTGCAGCGCTAAGCTCTGCTTGCAATTGGTTGTAGCTAGATTGGGCTTGTTGCTTCACTGAACTGAGCTCTTCGTGGTGTTTGGCTTCTACCTCAAGGATCGCTTGGTGGAATTTGGCTTTTACCATTTCCAACCATTGTGCCATGACCTCCTTGTGCCTTCTCTCAGCTTCAGCAATGATTGCTTCCTCATCACCGTTGTACACTTGCTGGATGTTTTGTTGCACGAACTGGAAGTACGCAGTCACCGGGGCTGAACCCATAGGATCATCGAGATCTATTGTCGGCGCAGTCACGAGACTGGCTGGTACGGCGACCGATGATGTGGCGTTACCAGGAATAGCGAGGGCGTCCATGGCTGTGGTTAGAGCACTACGGCTGATAACCTATAGAAACAGCCGTTAAGCTACCGCTCCTGTTTTGGGCCGCGAGCTACAAGGTAAGCGTACATGATATCCTATATACGGTGCATGGCAAAGTGTACATATTACCTGGAGTGAAAATACACAAACCTTAAGCTAACCAAAGCCAAACCAGCCAAACCGCAAAAACCAAGCCAAGCCAAACCAAACCCTGAAAGAAACCAATGCTAACTTAGCCAAACCAACCCAAGCCTAAGCGAAAGCCTGCCGAATCTCAAATCAAAAGCATGGGAGGTCGGCGACAAAAGACCACATTGGAAAAAACAAGGAGCCCCGCGAAGGCCAAAAGCCGAATCAAGAAGCAAGATGTAGTTTGAGGCAGCAAATGTCAACAAAGGCACACGCCTTTCGGCCTCCCGGGGCTTGTATTTTTCCCCGGACCACATCTTCTTGATTCTCGGATCAAGCGGGATTCGGCTTTCAGTATTGGGTTTTCGGTCTTGGGCCCGTGTCCGGGCTGATCTCCGGATGGTGTCTTTTGGGATTTAATCTTCACTTGACGGCGCCCAAAAAACTCAGGGCGTCCGCCAGATCCTTTTTCAAACCAGATCAAAGAGATCAAAAGGGCATGCTTTCCGTTTGTTAAGCTTGTTCATTTGTTACAATGGTGCAGGCTGCCAGTCCATTGTTTCCCCAGGAGAACTATATAAGAGGATATATATATATATCATAAAGGATTTGTTCTGTGGTGGTGCAGATACGCGCAGCCAACGGGACCACTTCTTACTTCGAATTGGCGGAGTAGACGTGAGTGGCAGCCAACTCTCGTCACACCTGGGCTGTGAGGAAGAAGCAATGCAACAAAGTTTTCTGGAGCCAAGCAACCTACAACGCATCGCCTGGAGCTCAAACCAAGGTCCAAAGGTCCCTTTCTGTGAGAGTAGAGCAGGGCCTCCAATGTTCTTTCTGATTGGAAAAGCAGGGTTGATTTTTGCGCTCCGTTTCATAGCTCATGTGGCTTGGATGCGGTGTTTGGAGACTTGCAAGCTTGCCAAGCTGCTTGCGCCAGGCAAGAGATGCTTGCTCGTTCTGCGCGATACGTTCTAACGTGTTCTAACAGCATATGGATTCGTCAGGTGCTCACCACTCTTTTGCTCAGCACCTCATTGCTGGTGAGCTGCGTTATGAGGACTGCAACTAATACGAACTCACCTTCAACAGCGTTCCGGGTCCAATGTTGCTTGTAGCAAGGTAGCAAGGCCACCCGCAGTAAGATATGACTGCGGTGTTTCAAGGAGCATCATGGTGGTGTGGTCAGTGATTGGCAGCACAGCTAGAAACTCGGAAACTCAAGATGCAAGGCTTGCCACTGACGCTGGGTTCGGATTCGCGTTGGTTAAAGGTTCCTCCAATGTCTCATAAACTTCAGGCAAGGACACTTGCAAAACAAGGTGAGCCCGAGAGTCCTACAAGAGTGTCCCGGAGTGCAGCAAAATTACGTCTGTGATGTCGCCATGCCATGCGGTTTGGCGCGGCCTCGGTGGATCATCAGGGAAGCATGCGTACGAGTGTCCGACAAAATTTCTAGAAGTGAGCAGTTCGTGTTTTGAAAACGTGATTTGATTGCAAAACCGATAGGGACCCACCCGAAATCGAAATCGATACCCTTTAACATGGTAGGCAACCGTCCACTTGAACGCCAGCCTTCTTGGCATTTACCTTTTGCTAGGTTGTGGGAAACTGCGGCCGGACCACACCTCCTCTCCGCTACTGTTACTACTACTACTACTACCACTACCACTACCACTACCACTACGACTACTACTACTACTGCTACTGCTACTGCTACTGCTACTGCTACTGCTACTGCTACTACTACCACTACCACTACCACTACCACTACCACTACCACTACCACTACTACTACTACTACTCCTACTCCTCCTCCTCCTCCTCCTGCTGCTGCTGCTGCTGCCACTACTACTACCACCGCTACTACTCCCACTACTGCTGCTACTACTACTACTACTGCTGCTGCTGCTGCTGCTATTCAAGACGCCTCGCGTCGACAGCCGCCCACACCGCGCATGAACAGCCGAAGTTAGTGAAATGGAAGTAGCCATCTAGGCGCCAGGTTGGGGACAAATGCAGCCATCTAGGCGCCAGGTTGGCTGTCTTACGGCTGCGTTGGAGCCATCTTGGGGCCAA